GTTTTGTTTAGGAGGTGTCTTAAACAGAGATGCTTCCGACGTAACCACACGTTTCTGCAAGGGAGAGAAAGAGAGAGAAAAAAGTCAGTTCTACACACATGACCAAGAATTTTTTTTATCGTTGCAGTGGCAGTAATGAAGATATGTGCGAAATACTGCCGGTTTGATACAGTCTAAGGAGCTATTCTTGCAGATACGTGATGGCGTTGGTTGGCGCCGGTTCGATGACTGGTACATTGTCCGGGGCGTACGCAGCTGAAACGGAGTATGGGGCCGGGCCGCGAATCATGCCCGCCGCGCCAGCAGGAAGGCGCGTTCACTGCACACACATACACATACTGACTACACACACACACAACTTAGGTTACAACTTGTGAACGGCGGAGTCACTGAGGCGGGACCGCGCAGTGGGGGCGTGTCCCGGCGCGCTGGCTCCGCGGCAGCGCGCTCTACAGGGGATGAAGGGGAGTTCGAGGCTCCCCGACGACAAGGTCCAGCTTGCGCAGAAGTCTTTCTGGTCCAATTCGTTTTTGTTTGTTTGTTTCTTCGGCAGTGCATTTGCAGACAATAGGAAGGAACTCGAAATTGTGCGGATCAGCGCGGGCGACCTCGGCCGGCGCGCTTGGTCTGGTCTGGGGGCGTGGGAGGGGCGCCGGGCGACAGGCTAAGGGCGAAGGGCGATGGACGACGATGCTGCTGCTCGACGCTCGCCCCGTTGACGGCTTCTCCGTAGTCTTCCGATTCTTCTTCTCCTCCTCCTCCTCCTCCTCCGCTGTTTCCTTCGGTCTCCGCCGACCCTGCGCGCCTTCCCGGCTGCTTACATGGAGGGAGTCGTCTCGGAGCTGGAGGCGGGGTCCAGGCTGTCAGGCTCCACCTGGAGGCAGGGCGGCCGGTCAGTGGCGGAAAAGAGGCGCGGAAGACAAATTGCTCGTGACTACAGGTCTGGTGGCCTGGAAGTGGTTTTTAAGACGTATCATTTTAAAACTTAAGAGACGTGCTGGGGAGGAAAAAGAAAGTATGAAACATCGCATTAAGAGTGTGGATCACGTGACTACGGTTCTAAGAAATAAATACTTCTAAAGGTGATTAATTATCATTCACATGCAATTTTAGTAATTAAAATCTACATAATACGATATTCATCCGAGAATTCATTAATTAAGGCAATAACAGATCTTTGAGTAGAAAATAAAGAAATCAGCATATAATTAATGCCTAATATAAGAAAATCCAAGAAACTACAAATCATGACATGCTCTAAAACGAGCAAAAGATCATCGTAATGTAGAAATGGCGACTGCGGCCAGAAATTTTATTTCATTAGTACTTGCCGATATATTCCACATGGACTCGAAAAGAATGAAGGAAGAAGACAAAATAGAAGATAGCCTCAATATATTTATACACAAGAAACCAATAAAATGTCAATTATTGTGACGAAAACAATCTACAGTAGGAAAGAAAACATTTTTCCTATTTGAAAACAGCATTCGATTTTAGTATGTCTTTCTCAAAACTGAATACCACTTACAACCCGAAGTTGTGCAAATGGTAATTAATTAAAACACGTGAGAAAGTAAATATTTCAATCGCGAGGAAAAATATTTTGTGAATAATTCAGAAGGTGAAGTTATTTTGAGTAGCATAAAAGGGAAAAAATGGAGAAAAGGTTTTTAAAAGATTTCGGCAGAAAACCTAAACGAGTAAATTATGCAGTCAAATAGTGTTTGTAATTTGCGGCTTCTCTCAATCTTAACTATCAAAGAGCCTCTTGTATAAAATTGTAAGTTTTCTGAACAAGTAAGATGATTATTTTAGTCATTATAGTTTGAATGTTTCAAACGAAATCACATATTTTGTCAATGTGTATTTTCAGGTAAACAATGTTATGCTAATGTTAATTCCTTAGATACTTTAATAAAATTTGGCCACTTCAAAGCGAATTTATTTGCGCATATAATGAATAGGTGAGGGTTTATAAATGAGATATTATTATGATATTATGAGGAGAGTTGGAGGCAATGAGAAAAATAATTTAAGACTATTTAAAACGACTGCCTGTACTTAAAATTGTTTTGAATACAAATCCAACTTGAAATTGCTATTAGTTACCATTCTTAATGAAAAAAACTTAAAATAATAAATCTGATTCACGACTATAAGTGAAATAAATTATTTCTGTAAAAATTAGTCAAAAATAATAGCGAGGACACCAACGTTAGCTTGATTGAGAAACAAGAAAGTGTGAAATAATAATGAAAGTAAAATAGCAAAGCTTTCCGGATACCGAACTCAATACCACCTGTGACTAATGATCAGGGGATATTTTACAATTCAACGACGCTGCTGGTTAGAATGACGATCGTTGGTTTCAAAAATGAAGATATTAAATTTGGGGCAGTCATCACAAGAAAATAAATACATAAAAAACTTACTAGATGCAAAAAAATTGTTTGTGGCATTCATAAATACGAAAACACCGTCTAATCTCATTTCTGAACCCTTTTCCTCACAATTTCTCCCTTATGAGAAATTAAAAAAATATTTCCCTAAAGTAGTTTTCCCGACCGATTCTTTCTAATATCCAATTTAACTCAAATGAATGTTTCCTGCTAGTTTTTGAGAAGTAACTAAAAAATGGCATTTTAGATACGTTAATTCTCTTGTGCACCGGCGATATCCAAGATTTGGGATTTTTTACAGTACGCAAATTTTTTTAAATGATTTGTTTTGTAAATCGGTATATTTTCAACGTATGAGCACTGAAGTGCCTGCCAAGACAAGCTCCAGACTGATCTCCTGACATGTGTGGTAGTGTGGTGAATGTAGTGTATGTATGAATGACTGAGTGTGTGTGTGTGTGTGTGTGTGTGTGTGTGTGTGTGTGTGTGTACTTAAGGGGGAAGAGGTGATAAAGATCATGTAGGAAAGATCGTGCGCGGTTCTTGGTTCGTTAGAGTACGAAGCGAACGCCGGAGCAGTAAATGTAGAAATTGCAAAAAACTACCGTTAAGAGCAGCCAACCGCTTGAATTCTCCTCCAGATAATGGGTTAACTAGATATAGCTAGTGATGCGACATCGACAAAATATCATCAATGCTCTAAATTAAAACATAGATGTTAATAATACATCGCACAAAAACATCATGTTTTTAAACATCGATGTTTAAAAGCTGGTTTAGAAACCTCCAACATTAAACTCGTGCATAACAAAATTTAATTTTACAGTGGCCGTCTATATTAATTTATAATTAAATTTACCTCAAAATAAAATTAGAAAACTCCTCTCCATGTGCAAAATACAATGAAAGAGGAAGGAAATACTGGAACATCAGGATCTCGACCGAGGGATAGTCTCTCGATGGAAGTAGTACAAGTTTATGTGTTCGTTTGACTCAAACACACAAACAAACAGTGGTACCATCAGTTATTCAATATTTTAACTTTAAAAAAAATATGGTTAAAGGAATGTTTCAATCACGAACCGAAACCGAAAACGTAAATACACCGAAAACGTAAAAACATCGATGTTAAACAGATTAGTTACATTGATTTTTAAACACTAATGTTTTATAAGAATACCGACGCATCGTTTTAAAAAAATCGACTCGTCGCATCCCTAGACCCAACCATTTCTTATGTAGACCTACTGACCATATTAATGTGATCACTCTACATTTTTCACTTTTTGCCATTTTGCAATTTCCTGGTAATGTTCGCCCCTGGTATCTTAGAAACGAACATTTGGAGAAACTTGACATTGTGAAAGGGATCATGTTCCATTAATGCTCTAATTTCTCCTTTTCCTTTGAAGACAGGTTCTTTGACCTTCTCATCAGAAAACAAACAACAAATTTAGTTAAATATTAAGTTACAAAACAAGTTATTAAACAATACAAAACTATGAAATAAAGATAAAAAATCATGAAAACATAATATAAAATCATAAATTATAGATTAATGTAGAGAAACAACTCGCACTTAAAACAATTATTCTATAATAAAATAACTTATGACTTTCACTCAAAAAGAATGTGGCTTCCAACTGGACCAATTTTTCCATAGAAAAAAGAATTGTGGGCACATTTTCACGAAAGAATTGTCACCACTGAAAAACATCATTTCAAATACAAGTTTCACCTTAAAAATCGAGGGGAAAGCACCAAAAACTATTAAATTTTGCAGATAGTCACCATTATATGGCCAGGGATTTCGATGTTGGGGTCGAAAATTCACCAGTGTCGTGAGGCGAACCGTATGACCTCCAGATCAGCTACACTTTCGAAGGAACGGCAATGCTGAGAGCGTAGGTTTCCGCGGCCGGTGTAACTACTTGTCTGTTCGAGAGACGCCACGTTCTATACCCCGATTTAAATATGGTGGCACTTCATTGTGGTTAAAGTGTCATAGTGATTAAATTGGAGTATTGCAGTAAATTGGAGTGGCGCAAGCGCCAATGCTTCGGCTACCATTCTGCGACCTTCCTCAAGGCGAAATGACCTGACGTGGCGTCTCCCGGAGAGCCAAATAGTTAATGGCAATGCTCCCTCCGGGCTATCCCAGGTCGTGACGTTGAAGTGCGACTGTGATTAAATTGGAGTATAGACTTGTCTGTTCGGGAGACAAGCCTATACTCGACCAATGCTTCGGTCGCCATTCCGCAACCTTCGTCAGGGTGATATGCACTGATCTGAATGAGTGGGCGTCTCCGGACAGCCAAGTAAGTTAATGGCAATGCTCCTCCGGGTCCATTGCAACGGTCGTGAACTTTGAAGTCGACTGTGATTAAATTGGAGTATAGGCTTGTCCGTTCGGGAGAGACAAGCCTGTACCTCGCCATGCATCGCATTCTGGGACCCTTCGTCAGGGCGTTATGAACCTGATCTGTAAAGGAGAGCGTCTCCCGGACAGCCAAAGTAGTTAACGCCATGCAGCCTTCCGAGTGATCGCAGCCAGTGACAGGCTCGCGCGGCGCGCTCACCTCCGAGTGAGCGTGGTGCGGCAGCGGTGCCGTTTTGTGGCGACGGCGTGGAGGGCGCGGGCGGGGCGTGGCGCGACCCGAGCGCGGCGTGGCGGCGCCGCTTGCGAGGCGGCCGTCGCGGCGCCGCCTGCACCGTCCCGCTCCGCCGCCGCGGGCTCGTCCGCCTCCTCCTCGTCGTCGCCGTCGCCGCCGCCGCCGCCGAAGGGCGGTGAGGGCGCAGGGCTGATGGGCTCAGGCGGCGCGTACTGCTGCAGCAGCTGCACGCTGTGCTCCGTCTGGGCAAGCAACAAATAGACCTTGTTAATGCTACGAAATCGGTCTTACCAGTTTTGGGAGAGCAGTGAGGCTTCATTCACAATCCAGACATATTGTTGCCGCAAAACTTAGGAATGAGGTCTTAAGCTAAACCATTCACTACGCCCTGACGTAACCGTACGCGTAAATGAGGCTCAAGGTGAATGCATGTCGCCGAGTGCTGAAAGAACATCGACAAACGATTAGTCCCTGGATTATGTAACAATTATGTTGTCACTACATGCAACAGTTAGAACCTTGTTAAAAAACTAAAGAGACCATTAACAATCTAATATGTCATCGGTTTGTCGCTTCTTTCTACCTGCACCTCTTTCAATTGCCACGAAGACAGCATGAGTTCTCGTTACCTCTGCTGTATTGCCTCTCGTTCAGCGGTGGTTTAACCAATAGGTAGTACTAGGCTATTGCCTTTGGCCCCAACGATATTAAACATTTAAAAAAAATAAATAAAAGTCAGACACTTTATTTTTGCAACCATGTATTAATTTTTTAGACATTTTGATATCATAAATGCAACACTCAAATTCATTGATTGAGTATACAGAAAGTGAAAAAGGAGTACATTTTAATTCGTCAAAACTCTTTGCTTTTTATTATTGAACACAAAGTCACAATTTTGTTCCCAGGTTATCCGAAACTTAAAAAAATAATAATATAAAACATTGGATCAACATCATTTTTAAGATATATTAATGTATATATTCAAAATGACCATTCTAACAAAACATAATTTCGCGAGGGGGAAGGATGATGAAAACGAGGCCAGGGACTCTCACTTGCAATCGCCTAGGGCCCCTTGAGTATTAATCAGAAACTGCGTGCGATGATAGTATCTCCAAGGAGTGTGCACTATGCCACGGACCAAGGTTGTCAATAATGCACAGAGACGAATAATCAACATATTATTTTTTTACAAAAATAAATCAAATCAAATCACTTCGCAAATATCTTTTATAAAACTGAAAATAGCTTTATGTTGTAACCAGGACCTCAAATACTCTGTTACGTAAAATATATCAATACCCGAAATTCACCATTCTTATATTGCAGCAAACCGTTTATAAACAGACGTAAATACTTAGTCGCGTGGGTTGAAATTGTATAGAATATCAAATAGCTTAATTTTACTTAAATTTCTAAATTCTGCACTCTCCGTTCACCCGTGCTTCGGGGTGGGATTATTCAAGAGATGTATATTCCCAACAAATGCAATAGGTCCGAATGTTTCATTTTATGCATTGCGGCTTTTATGCAATAGCTCGATAACTGATATTACTCGAGACCTAATTATAAGTCTAAAAATACCGTTTGCATGTTAAGCAAGATGGTAACATAAGTTGCAACTTAACGTGTCGTAGATTACAGTTGCACAGGTTTTTCTACTATATCGTAATCTGAAGACTTCTATTGTTTTCATCTTAAATCGTGTTAATATAGGACTGTGGAGTAACTTTCCTCTCTAGCACTGACATAAGAAGTTTTGGATTAATAGTGTCTTGTAAATAGTATAAAACAGTCACCTTTCGTTAGCGTATAGACAAGATAGAAGTGATAAATGGTACGAAAATTTATAAATAAATGAAACGGTAATATTTAATCCACGATCAAAATTATTCGTTAATCTATATTGTTTCAACTCAGTGGTCAAGCCATTTATAGGTTTTAATATGAGAGTTATTTTACTATGTACTTGTTTATGTAAAATATATATCATAATTTTACATTTACACGTATTGATTATTTATTTTAGTAAATGTTTGCTTTCCTCACGTGAGGCACAATTTAACTACCTGTTTATTGCATGCGTTTAGCAATAAGAGTTGGAGGGAAAAGGGAGGGAAGTCATTAGCTTTCGCTGCAATTTCGGCATACGATAGTGGTGGCTCGTGATTCAATGCAGGTGGTTGAAGCTAAGTTCCGTTGCCGAAATGAAATAGAATCCCTAACTAGTTAATACATATTTAATTCTAATATAAATATATTTTTATATAACAGAAAGATTGATTGTTGTCTTGCCCCAAAATATGAATGAAGTTCTTTAATAAGATTCCAAAATATTAAGCAATCTATGATTATTACTTCAGTTCATTTTTAAAAAATATTACACTGGGGTAAATAGACACATTTGTTTTCATTAAACTACAGGATGAAAAGTAGTGATGAAATTAATGTATACAATGTATACATGTATGTATACAAAAATTATGATGCTTCTAAGAGTTGAATGGAGTAAACTCATACCTCTTAACATTGAGACTATGGATCTTTTAACATGATATTTATTGGATTTACGACAATATTAAAACAATACTTTGATATTCAAGCATGTGCTAAATGAAAGATGTCAAAAGAAAACCACTTTCGAAGTATCTAATCATCGTAATTTTGACGAATTTGTAACACTACGTATTTCATTTCTCGGTGTGAACAAAAAAAAAGGATTAAAGAATGTGAATGATATAAATCTACGTCAGTCATCTTCATAAGAACATTGTTTTCGAGATACTTCTACGCGCTAGACCAAGTAGGCTTCAACACAGAATTGGAACTCCTGATGAATAAGTTACTCCATCGAACGCTTCGTAATTGACGTAACTCCCAGACGTCGCTGTGCCGCTGAGCGAGTTTAATATTTCAGAGCAATACGGGCTCCGCTACTCTGATTCCCAGACTCCGGAAGCAGCGTACTGCACGCATCAACGGCGCTGTTTGCTAGTGTCTTGCGACGCGGAACGGAATAGATGCACCCTCCCGTAACGCCCAGTTATCTGAACTCCGCGCCGCTTCGAGTAAACAGACAGGATTTCTCTTCAAATACTATATCGTTTGATCTGTTCGCACCGTTTTAATCGCTTACTCACTGGCGTGGACGTGACTTGGATGTTCGCATTGGGTATGATACATTAGTTTTCTTTCATCGTGATCGAATAAGATTTTGTTCAAAATCGAAGAGAACATTTTGGGGAAATAAGTGGTGACCTGAAGGTCATAGATCACTTGTGAAGGCAACTCGACCAACCATTCATTCCACGATCAGTATCTTGATTGATTGATTGAGTATGTTTTTCTTGTGGGAAGTGGCGGTGATCTTCCCCCACTGGCTGGCGAGATCAGGCATCTACCTATCCGCCGTTTCTACCCACCCTATCCGTCGGCGAGGTTTTCCCATATAGGTATCACCCAGGGGTACCGCCTTATCCGGTAAACAGCTCTAACCTCTCAACTGGACTTCCGACAAGTGTGGTGGTGTAGGGCACGTGAGTGTATGTGTAAGTAAGGGGCGAGGATAGGAAAAGAAAGAGGAAAGATCGCGCGTGGTCTGTAGCCGTTTAATAGGGTACTGCTCCGGCATTCGCCTGGAGTTTATCGGAGAAATCACAGAAAAATATCTATTAGAGCAGCCGGCCTCTACAATTCTCCTCCACACATCGGCTGAATTCTACTTAGCTGACAAGCTAGAGTCGAAAAACCTGCTATCTCCAGGACTTCAGGGTCAGAGTCATTGCAGTGACATCACATGATGCCCTGAGCCAACTTTGCCGGTTCATGATTGGTATCATTGCTACTTGTCTGGAATCTGGCCCCAAGGGTAAAGTGTGAATTAAATTCGAAAGCTTGCACTACTAATTTGTCCTAGTCAGTGACAGCTCTTGAGGCCAATACCTTGTGAAGCAATATCGGCAACCTGTTAACACATCCACAGAAGTCCTCAGAAGATTCAAGGAGTTTAATCTACGCATGACTTAATATTAAATCCATGTTACATAAATATTGGACCGACTGTGAATAACTTGATAACTCCTAAAAATTATATTTTATAGAAGAGCAACGTATTTGCTGCCTGTGATCATTTGATTTCGGCGTGGATAAACAAACTACTAAATTAATTTGATGTGAATCAATTATTTCAAATCGTAATTTGTGAATAATCAAAAAACTCGACTTTTGTTGTTAGAATTTGTATTTGCACGAATTTTACGTTGCGTTTGTAAATACACCAGCACCCCACAATCACCAATTCAACTTATCTGATTAAATACCACAGAGAGTGTTTGGCAGAGTAATGGTTTATTTAGCTGATTATGTATGTTGGTTACGTGTGTGGTATGCCTTATGGCCTCAGTATTGCAGAAAATAATTTCCATTTATTGTTAGAATTAGTAAATTAACTGATTAAAACGCATTATCTCTAGAAGAGCTTAGGGAAATAATGTGTTAAGTCAAAAGATTCAAATCTTTACTAGGGACGTTCCGTATCCGTGAATATCACCAAGCAGAGGGGCTCCACAGCAGCAAAGATTTAAATTGTGGGATAACAGGTTTTTGAACCAAAATCTTATGGAGTTAATAGTGCAAAGACCCTTGTAGTAGCGAACTTCAGCACAATAATTCAAAAACGAGACTTGGAAACTTCCTTCTTAATTTGAGAGAAGAATGTGGAGACCATACTGGCGAGGATAATATGAAGATAATAATTTCCCCTTCTTTTATATTCAGAATAAAATTAACACACCTTATTAATAGTCATTGCAATAGTGTAATATGAACTGGTACATTCTTGGACTCAGACAAGTTCGGGGGGTAGAATATCGTGTGGTCATTACTGAGGGAAGTATATAAACAATACCAACATTTTTCAATTTTCAAATGGCCAGTATTGAATATACATCGGTGTTTGAACATCAACTAAAAAATACAACAAAATAAAAATTGTTTTTTCAAGTACGTACATTTTACGTACCAACAAGAATGTTAGAAAATATACGGTGTTTTTATCTATGGAAAATAATAGAGCTTTTACCCGACATTTTCATCAGCTGCTTTTCAATTTTCATTTTATTTTCATAAAAAAGAACTAGCTGAGTCCTTGCTATTACAGCGCAAAAGAGACATGCTGCAGAAAAGTTATATCAGAAAATCACTTCATAGGCGTAAACGGGAAATAGAAAACAATTAGAAAATATTCCATGTCGTTCAGTACTTATTCTTCAAGGTTAATGAAATAAGGGAGGTGTATATTACAAATAAAACAATACAATCAATATGTCCTTGTGATAACAGAGTTGAACACGCTTTTTGAAAAAGTAATATAAATTATTTATATTTACCAGAACATGCGTGTTGTAGCGAACTCTTGCAGGAAATAATACTTTTCATCTTAACTTAAAAACGAAATGCATCACATATAAATATGAGAGTTCATTGATTTTTGGGGGTAAACGGGCACATATGTCAGGAGAGTCACCTATTACGATGGTATTCTCTCACTAATCTTAGCATTTAAAAACACTCAATCTTCTAACAAACAAACAAACAAACTAGTTTCTTTGCTTTGCTATCACGTCATACTCTTTATTCTTACTCGAGCAACTCGCTTTCCATAAATCATATCTATCGCCTACTCGCGCTAGTCGACAAACCCAAGATGAAAAGACGCTGCATCATGGACGAAATGTCAACAGCTTTCGATTGATTGTTAGACTGCAACTCACCCAACGTCGTAATGCACAAATGGCGGCATACAAGCGTTCATTCAAGTAATTTTAATACATTATTAAAATTTAGTGATTATAATAGCACCTGAATTAGTCTATTGTCACTTATCTATTGATTAAAAACCTGAATAATAATAATAGCACGTGAACAGTAGTTTTCTTTTATAAAAATAACAAAATTTGGTTGAATAGAATGCTTAAATTTATTTCTAAACGAAAACCCTTGGTGTTTTTAATAACCAGAGAAGTGTACTTATGGACTTATTCATGGGTGTGAAAGAAATGACTTGTAGTGCGCTCACCTCCCGCTTGAGGCGCTCCATGAGGCGGCGCCGGTCTGCGCGCAGGCGCTCGGCCTGCTCCGCCTGGCGCGCAGTGCGCAGCCCCGACACCTCCAGCAGCGCCAGGTGCGCGTCCTTCTCGCTGATGGCCGCCTCCAGCGCCTCCTGCCTGCGCACACACACACACATTCCTCAATGTAACGTTCTACGAACGGCCAATTGTTGGTCAGAATAGTTATTTTATATTATATTAAAAATGTTCCCTCCTCTCATTTCCTTTTATTGCTCTTAGTTGTGTATTAATATTGTTTAACTCAGGTATATTTAGTTTTTGACTGTTTAAAAGAGTGGGCATGGAAATCTTAGAATCTTTATTTGGGGAATTTATGATCAATGGAAACATATTCTAATTATTACTAAAATAATAACACCAAAATTCTCGCTAATTACTGTAGCGCAACAGTCCACCACGCTATTTATTATCATATAACATCTGTCTCGTTGCAAACAGTCTATATTTCATTCGAGCTACATTTATTATTTATTAATTATTGTTATTATTAGTATTATTATTATGGTAGATAATTATGTAACATAAAATAAAACATCACATTCACACTATTTAATGTACAAAAACCATTAATTTCGTTCGTGATTTGGCGGCTGTAAAGGAAAATAGTAGATAGAGAATATGCAGAACGATATTTATTTACCGAAGGAAACTGTGGCGCAAAATTCTTTCAGGGATTTCAGCAAGTGTAAAAGAGTACCTAACAGTGAACCTTACGAGGAAATTGGATTATTTCGCCTGACGCGTAATCGATAGGTAATTCAAACTGAACTAATATTAAAAAATATTAAAACATTAGTACAGCCACCTAAAGGAGACAACTTTGAAAATGAGGTGGGAAATATCCGACATTCCATCGCTTGCTACGGAATGGATAAACTGCCATAAGTAAAGGCCCGAGCAGCAATTTTTGGCAGTTTTACCCTTCATGAAGTAAGTTATCAAGCGCAACCCTCCGTCACCGCCCGCCACTCCTGCGGTCAGTCGCATTGCGCCTCCCACACGCGCTCAGAAACAACACTTTTAGATTGCGCGCGTTAGATTGCGGCGTATCAGCGCCCATTAACATTCTTTCGTACGAGTTCCCTGCGTATCAGAGCAAGATAAGAATGCTTTCATTCGAAGAACTGACGTTGCGAAGCTTCAGCTCTGCGCTCAGTTGCAAACTAAGATTGAACGTTTGTGCCCTTTCTCAATTTCATGTGGTCATGGAAGAGATGGGAATGGAAACTATACGAGATGGAAAAAAAATCTAGGGAAAAATACGTATGAATGTTCTTTTTTGAAGTTTAACAAAAAATTGACAAATGTTGCTTACTCAAAATGTAAATTAAATGGTTTACATATAGTTTGGCAACGAACAATATGTTAAGAAAGATGGTACACGATTAATTTCAACTTTTGGTGTTGCAGACGGTCAAAATTTAAACACAATTCACCATACGGGAGTCAATCACAATTCATTATCTGAAGCTTAATCCCAAATGAGCGCTTTTTCTCTCTGAAATTTAACCTCTTGTACATGGTGCAGAAACTGAAAACAAATTGCGTTATTTCTTATTATCACGCAACAAACATAATGAATTTAGACCTATTAGAAACCAAAAAGCAAGACATTAAGATAAAATAAGATGTTAGATGCAATTTTTTTGAAACTGTCGCAATGGAATATGGTCGGTTTCTAACGACTCAACAGATTTTACCAATTCTACAATTTGCAAATCTTGAATAAGTTTAGCTTAAACAAACCTTTCTTAGATAATAAAATCAATTGCTACAGTCGGCATATTAGAAGGTAGCATTGGGAGCCCATGTGGTGTCTAATTCGAAAATTCTTAGCAATATTATAAAAGTAATTCAGTGGAGCCTCAAGTTTGATATCACACCTTGGAGGTGGGCCAACGGATAAGTTTCAAGAAACCTGGTATTAGCCAACAATAAAACACATACAATAATTGTCACATTTTAAGTGAGAAATGTAATCTTGGAAGATTGGGAGAGTCTGGGGTGGATGTCAACATTTTAGTCTTTACTCAACAATCTTCAGGAATAAAGGTCCAGTTATCTTCGCATTTAACCCTGAATAAAAAAACAGTAAGATGATCGAAACTTTCGCATACATGTTAAGTACATGGCTCTTTCGGTTGATTGATATTGATAGATGTGTCTGGGCACGTCCACTGTTATGTCATTAGTCACGACATTGTGGTGAATGTTTATCATGGAAGGGGACGTCATTTTCCCCTGATGAATGGAGAGATCCAAAACCATCTACATGTCTGTTTGTGGGGGATTTACTCCTCTAGGTAAGTCCCCTACAGGAACCCAATCTCAACCGCGACAAGCTTTAGCCTCGAGGCTCCTGTCATGGGAGGTATAGTGCATGTAAGTTTGAGCGTAAGTACGGGATAAGATAAGTCAAGGACGAGGAAAGATAGATCGCGCGCGGTCCATGGCCCGTTTTTAGAGCAGTATTCTAGCATTCGCCTAGCACTGATAGGAGAAACCACGGAAAACTACCGCTCTCCCTCCCTGATACCTTCTGGATACCGATACCCTCTGGCGCCTTCGTGACAAATTCAAGATTCCACCGCCTCCGCGTACTCACTTCATGGCGGCGAGCTCGCGCAGATGCGACGAGCGCTCGGACAGCAGGCGCGCCAGCCGCTTCTCCAGGTCCTGGGAGCGCGACAGCAGCGGACGGCACGTGGAGCACCGCAGCGCGTGCGCCGTCTGCAGCGACACCAGCCGCTGTTCCAGCTTCCCCACCTGCGCACCATAGCACATCCGATATTGCAAGAGCTCAGGTAATCGTTCCGGCATTAAGTTCACTCGCCCATTCGTTCACTCGCCCATTCGTTCACTCGCCCATTCGTTCACTCGCCCATTCGTTAATTTGCCAATGACTCGTTTGTTCCATGATTCATTGTTTACTTGCAATAAACAGATGCTATTACATCCATCTTTTTATGAGGAGCAGACGTATGAAATATAACATATAGGGTTATACATATGTGGTATATCTTCAAAGAAAAGTAAAAATGTTAATGCATTAATCAAAATATATTATCATTTGCAATCATTCATAAAATAATCCTTCTTAACATACTCCGAAATTTATGCACTGTTCTTTCAAAGTTCATAAGATTCATACAATTTTACAGGGATTGAAAAAACAAAAGATGTACAGAAAAATACACATTGACGACAATAAATTATTCATAAATCATAAAAATAAACAGCACAACGCCCTACTAACTACTGATAATATCTAAAGTTACGAACTGTTACTAAATTCTGACGGTGACTTTTATTACATTCTATTAAAATGCTCTGTGTTACTTTGTAGTCGGCGAAATAAACACATTACAGCACAAACACATGCACATACAATATTTGCAAGTTTAAGAGTCAAGTCAATGATAAATACCCATTTGGAATAAGTAAAATATTCTTTATTTTCGAAATTCTTAAGAAAACTCTTACCTCTATCTTCACAAGTGTAGGTAATAAGCAACAAGTATTTACTATACATTTAAATACGCGTTAATATTTATGATGATGGAAAATTTGTGGGTTGCCAAATGTAGAAGAGCTTCTTGTTAGCATGATTTTGGCATAATGTATTCTATCACAGGGTACTAACGTTTTCCCTGTTAACAATATCTAGCTAATTAATACTAAATAAATATGTGGACATTTTTTAAACGCAATTTTTCGCAAAAAAGAGGCCAACAGAAAATAAATGTTTGCACCGCGAAATCTTCTGCAACAAGAGGTGTGTTGCGCTCCATCTAGGAGAGATTCTTGCAAACTTAGAAGTGCTCAACACGTGGAGTTGTGTAGTGCCCCCTGCCGCATGAACTATGGTGTACATCTTTACGACCCATGTACAAGCAAACATCGCCGTGGAAGAAACCTAACTTCTCCAGAGACGTGCAATAAACCCGTGCGAGGGAGTACATGTGTGAAGCTGTAGGTCCTGATAAAAAGAGCTGGATTACCCCTAATCTAAAGCCTTCTCCTCTCCAGAGCTTTTTATATACATCAGAAAGGAAACTTTCCAGATGGAACGAACTCTTAACATAGAGTAAGACCAGATACTTTTTTAAACTTCCACCTTTTGTATAAAATGAATACAACGAGCCCCATATTTCAGGGAAACATAGTTGAACACAAATCATATGTAAGTAAGGAATATTATATTATCAAGAATGAGTGAATATAAAAAGTGCACGAACCCGTTTGTCTAAGGTCTTGTATAAAAAAGCAAAAGTGGTGCTAGTTTCTCATACAAGTAAAATTCAAAGGTGTGAGGCTGAAGATATCTTTATTCGGAGGTAACAAAATCAAGTGGATCTTAACTTCAAAATGCTCAATCGTGCTCAAACGAATTACTCGAAATTAGACGTGTCACAAGAAATCTGAATTAAGTACTTAAGAATATCTGTGATTGGACTTTTCGTCAAAAGGGGAGACAATTGAGTATTATGAATCTCAATCTTCTTGACAACGTACAAGTCGTCAGTGACTACACTTTCGAGGTGCTGAATGATTTTATAACTAGCGAATAGCAAGGGCGGTCTAACAGAGAGGGAGCAAAAGAGGGATTTTTAATGTTATTTGTTTCGAATTGCAGTGTATATTTGTTACATTCATGTAAATTTACTGAACGCGATTTCTTGGTCCGACGTTTTTCTTTTGCTTTTTCAAACAGACTATTGCTCATTTCTGAATAAGAATTTGCTTTAATATTGATTCATTCTTTTATTGATTTAAAAAATCTGTGAGTCATTCGCTAGAAATGCAAGGAAATAGGTTGATTTGCATTAAGAAACAATTAACCAATTCGTTAATTCCATTAATTTTTTCTTTAGCTCGTTCTTATCATACATATGATTTATTAATGTGTTCGTCATTTTCAGGAGTTCACCTTTTCTTCGTTCGTCACTTTCCCTTTGTTCGTATTATGTTTGAATTGAATTGATGCTTTATTTTACGTGGCGAGACTCAGGCCATGAAGGCGAGACTCAGGCCGCTCTTCCGTCTGACCACGCAAATTTCGCTACACGCCTTCCACCAACTAGCAGAGAAAGGACATACTTCTTAAGCGAGAAACAGGCGATTTGAATTAAGCTCAGACGCGTCATTTACGCTTGAGGATCTTTTACATGCAAGTAAATCTATTAACATGGGACAGTCGGCTTTTCTTCCCCTCCGAAGGAAGGCGTACGAATGATTTTTTCGCCCTTAAAAATCGACGGCTTCGAATGGGTTTGATCTCGCCAACTTGGTTATAACAGTCCGATACGCTAATAGCTTCAACCATCGCCACGCACATGTTTGTTCACATATTCATTCGCTTGAGGGTTTATTCAATAGCGCATGTGTTCATTCATTCATTCGTGTGTAGATTAATTTGTCCTTGTGCCCATTTATTCATTCGTTCGTCTGACCATTAATTCATTCGTTCGTGTGTCCATTAATTCGTTCGTTTGTGTGTCCATTCATTCGTTCGTTCGTGTGTCCATTCATTCGTTCGTTCGTTTTTAGTGTCAAGTCACTCGGTTGCGTGTCAAGTCATTCATTTGCGTGCCAATTCATTTCTTCGCATGCCAAGTCATTCGTTCGCGTGCCAATTTATTCGTTCATGTTTCATTGCATTCTTTTGTGTATCGGTCAATCCATCCGGAGTTCATTCAATTACTCTCTACTCATTCAACCGTTCGCGTGTTCCAATCGCTCGCCGAGCCCACTCATTCATTCACTCTCTGGAGCTTCCATTCGCGCTCGATCACCTTCTCGGCCACCTGGCGGCGGCGGGCCTCCTCTTGCTGCAGCGCGCGCTCGCGCTCCGCCGTGATGCGCACGCTCTCGCGCAGCGCCTCCTCCAGCTCGGCGATGCGGTCGTCCTTGAGGCGCACCACCGCCACCAACTCCTCCAGCTCCTCCAGCCCCGACTGCTCGTGCAGCGCCGCCTCCAGCGCCGTCACCTCGGCCTGCAGCTCCTCCACGCGCTGTCGCCCCTCCATCACCTCCTCCTGCAGGTCCTGCGAACGCAACGGCAACGTGGGGCTTCACGCGCGACAGAAAACAACAGGCATCTTCAATAATGCCTGTGATTTTTCGTACAAGATTTGTAATACTTTTTTTTGACACGTTTTCCCATTTTTATTTTGTGCAATGAACATAACTACTAATCGGCGATTTACTTTAGATAATATTTGTTGGCCCAAGTAAACAGCTTGAGCGTTCAAGCAAGTTATACATAAAATACGAGTAGGTAGGCGTAATATAATTTTGTCTACTATTGAATGTAATAAAATTATTGAAGAATATAGAACACTAAAATTGACCCTGAAGTGTAAATGTTTTGTAATAACATTTGTTCGGAACAAGAAAGCCTGATGACATCACGAGCACGAGATTCGTTTTGTGCGCATGCGCTGAATTTATGGTCGTTTAAGCTCTAAAAGGCTGCGAGATTCATAGTGTGAAGAAGTAACCATGGCAGTGCCTCGCAGATCAGCCATCTGCCAATCAGTTTTACACAAGAAAATGCGGAACTTGCAATAGTTGATATTGACCGTGGTGAGATGGCGGCAAAATCGTGACTTAAACGTGAAAAACAATTTTTAAATTTATATTTACAAGTTATATTTTACTAAATAACACTAATTAACACTGAATTATCCACAAAAATTTTAATTATCGCATGAAATATAAATTATTTTTACTCGTATAATTATTTTATTTTTTAATTTCTTCTAGAAGTTAAATTTCAGGAGTTGTTATGGTCAATGTCATGAGGAATTTTTTTCAAACTTGGAACAATCTTTTACATACACTGGTATATTATTTTGTTGCAATATTCTGAAAATATTCTAAAATGACTTTAACAAAATACTTCAATAGCAATACCGTATACTTAGTAGGGGGATTAAAATGTTCCGGGTCCTGGAAAAGCCACTGGTAATAACCCACAACTAATTTCAGCACCACCCGCCACCAGTACATTCCCCATTTTCCAAAATGTCAGATAATAAATCTTCCCAAAAGTTGTATAAATTGCAAACTTTTCTCATGACATATCCTTTGTAAATGAGTTGCTTGGAATTTAGTGCATTACACGTATAGTATCAATATTTTACAAGACAAAGGCTACGGGGGCCAGAGATAAAATATTTCGGAGGAGGCGACCCGCACTTTCCCTGCTCTTCTTCACATAGGGAGGAAGTTTGCCCGCTTCCCTTAAATCGATTCTATCTACAAGAAAGTTCGCCCAGTTCCTTCCTCTTCTCACTTAAGGGCATTCAGGCAGCTCGGCCAACTCCCTTGAAGCACTATTTTGGGAAAGTTCCTAGCAGAAAATGAACGAGAAAGGTAGTACATAATTTGGGGAGTTGAATAATAGTATTGTAATTCGCTAATTACTATAGAAATAATTATTTTATAAAAAGACAACTCATTCTCTCAATTAATATTTTTGTTGTTTTTTGTTTAGTTTTTAATGTTAAATAATCTTTGTAAAGATGATAATTTAATTTTTTTATATGTTTCAAAATATTTCGAATCCTGGAGAAAAAGTTCAAATCATTCTAATAAGAATATCAGACAATTCTACAAATATGATGAAATTACCAAAAGTGATATTTCTATTCGTAATGGCAAAGATAATGGGATATTTCACTCAACTTATTGTGTAATGCCATCTCGTGAGAATTGACCTAAGAAGAAACCTGATGACAACTCAGACAAGCAGGCAGAATAATGTATTTTAGGATTCAAAATAATCAAATGGCGGAAAAAATAACCAATTTCCAAAGAGCAAGTTCCCTTTACCATGATTATCCGGAAATCAACATTTGAGAAATTCTAGTATTTGTGGAATTCAAGGAACATCGAATTTTAAAATTAAGGAACAATAAGATTCGAAGATTTTTTAGCATATGATGACTATAGGATCGAATAATTTCACGATTCTAGGATTTGTTGAATTCTAAAATTTGAGAATTTAAGAAAATTCAGGAATCAACTTTTTAAAGATTCTAATATCTGAGAACTACATCTTCCAAGATTTCTATAATTTGACAAACGTAGGGTTTTTAGAATTTATTAAAATTTAGGATGCAGATGGATTATAAGAATCTAAAGTATCACATATTGCAAGAATTATATATTTGTACGATTCATTGAATTATATAATTAGGAAAAGCGATGAAATTATTTATTGTAACTTATTATATTTAGTTAACAATTCTTTTGTAGAGTATTGTATTGTTAGACGATGTATTGTACTGTTAAGCATAATGAAGATATTCTGCCACCAAATTATCACACTTAATTGCAGAATTAATAATCTAGACTTTAGAATTCGAGGATTTGAGGAAATGGAAGATTTGGGGAATCGAGCTAAATGGCTCAGGGACTAGCATGCTGACTTCGAATTCGGGAGGCCGGGTTTCAATCCCCGTGCCGGCCATCCTGACCGAAGTTTTCCTGCTTTCCCTCGGTCATCCAGGTCAATGCTGGGATGTTTCTACTGAAATGCCACGAAACCGGCGTCTCTAGCCAAATTCGTTAACTACGTGAAGTCACGAAGGTCAAAAGAATTCGAGACATCGCGACTTCCTGGTTGGGTGACCGACTAGGAACCCCGAGATCTGACAGCACCAAAGCCAATTGCCCTTCACGGGACTGGCTAAATACAAAGAAGCTGGATATGCTAAATATAAAAGATTCGAGTGCCCTTCTTATCTCTACCAAAAAGCTCACCGCGCTGCTGGGACTCACCACTATCTCCCGGTCTTTGCGTGCCAGGACGTTGGCGTCGACGGTGGCGCCATTGGCCTGGGCTTGGGCCTGGGCCTGGGTCTGGGCGGCGGCGTCCGCCTTGCGGGGCACGTCGTCCTCCTCGTCGTCGGCCTCGCCGCCCGGGTCGCTGGCGCCGTCCCCGTCGCCTGCGCGCTCCCGTTCCCGCTCCCTCTCCCGCTCCTGCTGCTGGCGCTGCTGCTGCTGATGCTGTTTCACCTGGCGGGCGCGGGGCGGGGTCACGAGCAGGGGCGGGGCCATACAAGCACGAGGGCCAAACAAAGCAAAACGGAGCCGGCGCCGCGGGGCGCCGAAACTAAACGCAACGCGAAGACGGAGACAGTGGCGGTGGCGCAATCGCAGGAATCGCCGCTGGGAGAAGGAAAGAGGAGGAGGAGGAGGTGTATTTGCGTGGCAGTGACGGCCGCGAACAGCCCAACTGAAGCGGCGTGGGAGAAGAGCTCGGAGACGGAACTGGAGGAGGAGAAGGAGGAGGAGGAGCGGTATTCCGGAGGCGAACCAACGGCAGGCCACTCGCCGCGGAGGAGGTCGGCGAGTGGCAGCAGGAGGAGCGCGAGGAGAAGAGGCGAGGAAGAGGAGAGGGAGGAAGGGAAGGAGGTGGAGGACGAGGGGAAGGTGGGCGTGGCTGGGATCGAGGCGCCGGCGGCGGGGTGGGACTAGAAGAAGCTCTTGAGGAAGCCTGCAGGGCCAGCCTGCTGCTGCGGAGCGTGCCAGGAGAGGGGGAAGCGAACGCCAAATAAATACCAAATAAACGCATGCGATTAACAGGAAAAAGTGGAAGGAAGAAGAGAGAAAGAGAACAGAGAAAATACATGTTAGAGAGGCTAGAACTTGTTAGATGTTAGTAAGGTACCAGTTACTCAAAGTACTGCAGATTAATATTACAAAGACATCTAAGAAAGAATGTAATCTAAGTAGAATTTAGTTCAATGTTTGGTAATTAGATATTTAATATTGTATCAATACTCCTTCGTCACTAACCTCTTCTCTCATTTGTGCATTGGCTTGCTGCTGACTTCTCAGCTTGGTTTGGGTGTTTTTCAAGGCTCTGAAATTCACAAAATTATACATTCAATAATTTATTCATTTTGATATTATCCTAAGTCAATCGATTTTAATGTTCTTTGGAGCAATATAACATACAAAGAAGTTGCGGAGGGCAGAAGCATCTTCAACAGAGGAGATTCGGAGAAAAATCACTCCAAAATGCAGTATAATTTTTTATATCTCTATAAATTTTGAAACAATGAGACAAACACACAATTTTGGAAACGAACTATGTAAATCACGCAATGTAAACATCTCATTAGAATCTGAAAGCCGAGATGAAAATGAAATTTTCACGAAAGTAAAAAAATTGACATCTAGCAAATACTCATGAGGAAAAATCTGTTACTCTGTTGTTGACTCATTCGGTCAAAAGATAGTCATATATTGGGGTTATCACTCGATCTTTAAATCATACCGTCATTTATATGATTGTCCATATAGTTTATGATTCGCACATTTAATTCATTACATAATTCATTTATTTATTCATACATTTATTCATTTCTTCACTCATTCATACATTCGGATCAAAACAGCGGCCTCCCACGGGTGAACTCTGAGTCGTCAGACGTTACTTTGGGCTTAACGCTGTCGATGTTGGTTAAGTCACAAAATAGCTGAATCGCTAGGCCGAATAACCCTCTATGCCAAAATATTTGCAAATCATATTTTTTTGGAATAATGGAACTGGTTGCCTCACATGCCTCTAACCTGAAGGTCGTCTTATCGACCCGAAACATACGATAAACCCATCGGCGCTTCAGTTGAAGTCTGAGTCGCCCGCTAGCAATAACGACGGAGTGAGTGTGTGTGTGTGTGTGGGGGGGGGTGTACTCACTCCTGCAGGTCGCGAATGGTCTTCTCCTTCTGGTTCTGCTCCTCCTGGCTCATCTGCACGAGGCGCAGCAGGCGCTCCGTCTCCACCTGCGAGTGCTGCGCGTCCTCGCGCGCCTTCTGCAGCTCCGCCTGCACCTCGGCCAGCCGCGCCTGCGCCGCCGCCGCGTCCGCCGCGCCCGGCCCGCCCGACGTCGCCATCGCCGCCTGCGCCTGCACACCAGCGACACCCGCCCACACCTCATTGACTCATTCGCTAGTTATTCCGTGATGAAATAGTGAATGGGAGAGTATTTCGAATAATCAATGAATCAGCCCTTCCCCTGCGACATGATTATCATTTCGTGTTCTCGCGAACATCAACTGTTATGGTCGTTTGTCGCGTAGGTGTAGTGCAGGGTTTTTTTTATCGCAGGAAATGGCGATGTTTCCCCTCCCCGATGTAGGGTAAGAGCCGACCTATATAAGGTTTCGCGAGAGTTTCCCCATCCAGGTACCTCACACCAGTGGACGCCGGCCCAACCGAAACAAGTTCTAAGCTCCCGACATGTGCTGTATTGTAGTGCATGTAGGTTTAAGTGTGTAAGGGCTGAGTTTTAATTGATTCATTGATTAGTAATTCTGAGCGCTTCATCTACTATGGTAGCTAGTCCCGTAAGTATAGTGCAGGTTTTGACGATGACCGTGGCAGTGATCTTCCCCCGCCGGAGGTGAAAGGAGGGGCAGACCTATCAGCTGTAGTGCGTATTTTCCCCCAATTAATTATCTCCCACCAGCAGTGCATTGCTTCAGCCGGGACAAGCTTTATGCTTCTGACTGGAATACTGACATGTGTAGTGGTGTATTGCGTGTAAATGTGATTGATTGATTGATTGGTTAGTGATTCCGAGCACGTCAACTGCTACTGTTATTAGTCCTAGGAACACCTTCCAATTGTGGGATCGCGAATTGAATGGATATGTCCATTCTGAAAGGTACCTTCCGATTCTAGGATCGCCAATTGAGCAGATATGTCTATTCTTAAAAGCAAAGCACACGTTTCAATTCTAGGAACACCAGTTAAATCGACATGACCATTCTGAAAAGGAAATCACGCTTGCTAATTCTAGATCGCCAATTGAATCGATATGCCATTTCTGAATAGAAATGCTCCTTCCAAAAACTATGATCACCAATTGAATGGGCATGTCTATTCTGAAAAGTAAAATATCTTCCCATTTCTCGAATTGACAATTTACTCAGCACGACAGTTCAGAGAAGCAAGGCATGCTTCACAATTTTTGGAATGCCACTTAAACCGACATGTCCATTCTGAAAGCCAAGACTTCTTGCCTAATATAGGATGGTCACTTAAATCGACATGTCAATTCTGAAAGGCAAGTCTCCTTGCCTAATATAGGATCGTCACTTAAATCGACATGTCCATTCTCAAAGGCAAGACTCCTTCCCAATTCCAAGACCGCCACTTAAACCGACATGTCCATCGTGAAAGGCACGGCGAGCAGAGCACGGGCTGACCTTCTGCAGCTGCGCCTCCTGCTGGTCCACCTTCTCCTTGCGCCGCTTCAGCTTGACCTCTGCGTCGGCGAGCGCGCGCTCGCGCTCCTCCAGCTGCCGGGAGCGGCCGTCGGCGCCGCGCGACGCCTCCTCCAGGCGCCGGCGCTGCTCCTCCAGCTGGCGCTTCTGCTCCTCCACCTGCTGCCTAAGGGCGGCCGCCTCCTCGCCAGCCCGCGCCGACC